CCAGTAACGACATTACCAAAAAACGTGCTCGAAATGCCAATACATTTTATGAACAAAGCACAGAAAACAGAGCAATAAAACAAGCAAAAGTTGTTCGATTTAAGCATATAAATGATGATGCTGAAATATTTTACAGTTGTGACGATGAATTTGAAAACTAAACGTGTTTATTAAAAAAGTTATTTTCATTTTCATTTTGTATTTCGTTTTTCATTTTCGAATACAACACTAAAGATGATATAATATTAAGATATTGAATATGTTGTAATTTGAAATAAAATAAAATAATGTGTGGCTTTTTTCTCAATTACTGTTTTGTTTTATGTATACGAGTCGAGTCGGCTAACATTTCCGTGTTTTCTAATAATACATTCATACAATCATTGTATACAAAGGAAAAGAGTGGAAGAGAAAGTCAAATGAAATGAAATGAAAACAAGATCAAGTTCAAACTAGGACGAACAGCAACAAGGAATGACAAACAAACAAAGCCACCAACGAAAGAACTTTGTTTTTTTGTTTTTTGAAGAAGAGCGCTACTATTATAAAATATATTGGTATTAATATTTTCTAATTATAAATTATTCAACATTATAAAACACATTGAATTGTTAGTAGAATATTAAATCTTATTTATTAATAAACAAAATAAGAGAAATTTCTTAAATTCAAATTTTTGATCATTCAATAAAATGCTTAATGGGATTATGCAGTATATATTTTTACAACAAATGAATGAAAATAAAAACATAAAGCAATATGAATAACTAGAGTTTGAACGACGTCAATTAGTGAATTAAATAAAAATGTTCCAAAATGAACAACCTTGCTCGGAATATAGTTGCTCTACTTCAAAAGAAAATTGCTTGTGAGCGCATCCCCTTTGGGGCGAAAATGTGGAACTCACATATGGCCGATTACTTAACTTCTATTTTGTTAGACAGATTATCTATGCTTATCGAGTTCGAGATGTTATATATATTTTTTAATACAAAATCAAATTTCTAAAACAAGAGTGTATTCGTACGAATGTTATTTATTTATATAACATACGTATTTGTTGTTCGGTGAGCATTGAAATAATTTATTGTTATCAACAAAGTTTCATTTTTTTTTCTGGATAAAATGTTTGTTCAGCCTTTAACAATCAATTTGTCTAAAAAGGGAAATATGACATGTATTTAAACTGTTCACCTGCATGTAACAGTTACGTTACTCCTATGAGTTAATTCAGTGTCTTTTAGAGTTGCAATATTACTAATTATACCAGTTATTTCGCTATACGTGAATTTAATGTTACAAGAAATAATACTGTTTAAATTATTATTGTTATTAGAACAATCATTGTTTTATATTGAATCAGAGCTAATTTCAGCTAATATAAACATTAATAATGATTGTTCAATTCTTAAATTGCACTGTTCATTATTTGAAGTCAATTATGTTCACAACTTTCAATAATAGAGCATGACAATGAATACAACGAATTACACCTACTTCATCAATTATATTAGTACCATCACAACGTTGACATGTACAATGATTTTTATTATTGTCAATAGCCATGATTTTACCTTTTTGAGTATTGTATCGATTTATACTGCTGTCAACTTCGTTTATTACATCTGCTAGATTATCGATTTTTATGAATCTTATAAATGAAAACATGCTTTTTTTCTTAGTATTTTTCATATTTCTGAATTACATACGATGTATCAGTCGTTACAACTAATGAAATTTGATCATTATATATTCGTACTTTCGATAATCTTATATGATATGAGTTACCTAACTGTATTTGATTAAAGTGACTTTCCCACATAGTCATTTGTAACGCTCCAGTGACATCACCAATGACAACATTTCTTTAAAGTTTTTGAACGCGTTTAAATTAATTTTCTTCAAAACCAACTGCAATTTCATCACTAGCAGAACAAATTTTTGCCTATCACATGATATAGTCACACGCTTTTTCTTTCTTTCCTGTGAAGCGTGAATGACATTTCAAAATGAGCAAAAATAGATGAATCATGCTGTATACGACATTTGTCGGAGTAGAAACACGCATCGATGGTAATAATACTGATATGGTACTCCGCGAAGTGCCTATCCAAATATCAGCCGATAATCACCATTTATTCTATGGGTCAGGTGCGAGTGCCATCAATTCAGTTTTATTTTCAATTGTTAGCAATGGTTTTAGAAGCCAAATAGCTATTTACTGGAATATCATTTTCGTTTTATATCCTCTCTTGACTTTGCTTTTTCCATGAATTATAGAAAATTGAGATCCAAATAATCAAGAAATTCCTTATTGAAGTTACTCTTGGGTGAAGAGGCACCCGTACACCCACCCCTCAGCTGTTTCTGTTGCTTCTCTTCTTCGCTGCGTTTTCTATGAGATGTGAAGATTTTCAGATCATGAAAATTCGTTATCTGTTGATTGTTTCATATTTCACGGGTTTTATTCCTTCGTTCACAAGTTTTTACCTTTACATCTCACCATCAACATTTTATCGGAACTAGTGGCAACAGATTCGCCTGACCATTGGGTTAATGGACACTGAAAGACGACATTCAGTTTTTTCATTCATAATCAAGTTGATGCTCGTTGATAATAAATGATTTGTCCAACGAATGTCTGAAGCTATTTACATCTTCTTCGTGGTGGAGAAGATGAGGACAAGCAAGGTTTAGTTCAATTATTGAAAGACAAGAAAAGGAACTAGACTTTTATAGTAGCTGCTGTAACGCATTTCAATCCAGCTACGAATCTCATCAGTTGGCTAGATGTTACTCTGCAGAGACATTTTAAATGTAAAAATTAGAAGAAAATCAAGATGTTCCAATATTTTAGGGGCAAGAAACATCATGGTATTTAAAATAAATACATAATTATCTAGAGAAGCAAGTGAGTTCTTGAATATATATATATATATATATATATATAACTTTAAAAATGCACTTAAAAACTCTAATAATAAATTTTATTAATTTATGAAAAAACATCATGTACTACTGGACAATCATTTTGTCAATGCTTATTTTTTTTCATGAAAACTGAAAAGTTAATAACAATTTTTTCTCTTCATTTGTACCACCCGATTTTCTATAATATCTCATTCAGTGAAAATAGTATCTTCCATTGAAACTCGTGATCGCATGATTCTTCGAATGAATAACACCTCTGGCTTACAAATGCCACATCACACGATCGAATCTAGGACAACACAGTATATTCTAAATGATTTAATTATATCGTGGCAGACAAACTAGACAAAAGGACGGTCTGGCGCACACTGTAAACTGGAACGGAAGCAAATACAGGAATGCTCATATCTTGTAGTTTAGCTGCTTTTTGCAATGCTCTACATTTTCTCGATAGTCACTTCGGAGTTTTTTTTAATGAGAGTGTTTTGTAGAGCAAACATTTTCCTAAAATCTCAGCGGCAGCAGCGGTGCAGCCGCGAGACTTACACCTTTTAATCGTAATGCAACCGGGAGCACGAGCACGAGAAGAAGAGTCTGTTTGAACAATTGGAAATACGGTAATGGGAAAACATTTATTTATAAGAATGGCAACAGGAAGCAGAAGCCAACAAAAAGTATTCCCCCAGGGCTCTAATTTCTATGTACCCAAATCTACAGAGAAATTTTAGACCGCTCAACAGTCGTATTGCATTAACAAGTAACGCAACGCTTCATGAAAATTTGAGTGCACAATAATTTATAGACTTCTTTTTCTCTTTCTCAAAGTATATTATTGCCTATTTTGCAAGTGACATGTGGTTGTTGTTGTTGTTGTTGGGTAGGATAAGAGGGAGAACAGTAGAATCTTGTCACCAATTGTGCAGCATATTTTTTCGCCTGCTCACTGAAAATATTATAATAACCTTGTTCTACAGCACATCAAGTAATTGTTTCAAAATTAATTAGAATAAGCCAACTACAATCAGATTTTGTTACTCAAATTGCAATAAACTAGAAGTTTTAACTTCTTGACTTGATAAATCGGTGGAAACAGAGATTCAAGTATTTCGATTCGAACATTAATTTATTTGGTTTATTGATCAAAGAAATGTTTTTCATCATCTAGAGTATTGACAGTGCTGTTGTACTTGTTTTCTTTTTTTTCCTGCATATTAAACGGTCGATACTTGATACTACTTGTATTAGCGTAGATAGATTGCGGAAGAAGTATTTTTGTACGAGAAAAATATATGAAAATGAATCATTACAATCCAATTGTTTGTAAAAAAAACCTCAATGTTACAGTATTTTCGTGCACAAAACATCGAGTGAAGAACAGAGCTGGGCAAGTCAAGTCAGACTTGAGATTACTTGATTTGAGAAAATTTTTTGTAACACAAGAGGAAACAATAGAAGATTTACCAGTCAGTACTCCAAAAAGAAAAGGTCTACTTTTTTATCTTGAAAATGATATCAACGAAAAAAGGTCATTGACACATTTTTCGAAAATCATCATTATAATAACGCTGAGCCAACTGGCGGTAAAAATTCTTTATGTTCCAGCAACGTCAGCACCTGCAGAGCGTGTTTTTTCACAGAGTGGTTTTTTTATACATCAGCACAGAGCTTCAATGTCAAAAATAACTTTACAGATGCTGACAACGTTAAAGTGTATCAATAATCTTCAATAAATATGTAAAAGGTTTTTCTTTTTCTTTTTCTTTTTCTATTTCTTTTTTATAATCAGATGTTATTTTGTGAAAAGGTATAAATAAAAACTATGCGAGCCATACGATCTGTGTAAATGAACACGAATCAATCGATGAAAATGATGCCTCTCAATTGGAAGCGGATCATTCAATTCGACATGGAAATCATTTTTAATATTCTGACTTGACTTGACTTGTGACTTGCCCAGCACTGGTGAAGAACATGTGGGTATCTTTTCTCAATTATCGATTTGCTTTTATCATTCTTTTAACAGAGAAATGTATTTGTTTCATCGTTCTGTAGATTGTAATAGAATTAACATGGCGGAGTTTACGTTTTTACCTATATCGAATGAACTACTTACCGATACTCAATATGGTGATGAAGAATTCGTTGAAGTACACTTGGATGAACGTTTTTACATCGGGGACAAAATGCAAGTACATAAAGTATGGAAAACGAACAACAATCAAATGATAGTTCAAAAAGATTACAAACTATTTTATGATCCTGACCAATGCATTAATTTTGTCACGTCGTATGAATGGCGTAAAATATTTCTTTCACTGACGGATAAATTCAGCTATATGTTACCTTTAATTCATGATCTACCGCAAATAGTTTATATTTACATTTATTCGTCAGCATCGGAGAAAGTGCCCTACTCTAGTAGTCGTTATCCGAAGTTGCGAGCCATTGTAAATGAAAGTTCAGCAGATGCAGATGGTCAACTATTAAAAGATATCCAAACATTTCGACAAGATTTGATGCCGATAAATGTTATTAATCCTGTTCCTTGAAAAACTAAACTTTTAATTCAAGAACCGTCGCAAATCGAAAGGTATTCCGTTGTTTGGATTCAAGACAACAGTAACATTGAAAAATTTGATACATCATCAATAACTGATGTCATCGATTGTTTGGAAGTATTTTTTAGCTTCGAGAAGTGCATGGATTATATCAAAACATCATCGGATGATACTCGGATATTTTTCATTTCATCATCTTCGGATACTGAAACAATATTAAAAGAAGTTTCGCCTTTATCGAAAGTAATTGCAATTTATCTATTTGATAATCTTAAACAAATCACAATAACTCCAAAAGAGTCAATAGCAAAAGTACACGACCCATATTCTGATTTGCAAAGCTTGTCAAATCAACTGTCGCAAGAATACAAACGTTACAAATCTGATTCGCAGATGTCAGTCAGTATTTTCTCTCGTGAAAAGAATGAAAAGACCGTTCGGGATTTGAATAAAGAGAATAGTCGATTTCTCTGGTTACAACTGTTAGTTGATATTCTGATTAAAATACCATACAATGATCAGACAAAAGATGAAATGCTTCACGAATGTAAAATAGCTTACAAGGATGATAAACCTGCGCAGAAAGCTATAGAGGAATTCGATAAAAATTACAAATCTTCTGAAGCTCTATTAGTTTATACACAGGACTCATTTCTATATCGTCTATTCAATCAAGCACTTCGAACCGAAAATATCGATTTTTTATTTATATTTCGATTTTTCTTAGCCGATATGTATAATCAATTACAACAATTACATTCAGAACAATTTTCTATTAATCCAAAATATACTGGGAAAACGTTTATTCTTTACCGCGGGCAAAATATGAAACTTTCAGAATTTAGTCATATCAAGGATAACGTTGGTGGCTTATTATCAGTGAATACATTTTTCTCAACAACCGAAGATTTCCAAATTGCAATGCTTTATTCTGGTTTTGATGACAAAGATCGACCACCTGAATTAATATCAGTTATATTTGAAATTGAGATTGATCTAATTCATCCTGTAACTAAAAAGCCATTTGCTTCGATCGCACATTTGAGTAAAATCCCCCACGAACGCGAAGTACTTTTCTCTGTTGGTTCGATTTTTCGCATTTTTAATGCTGAATATATAGGAACAAGCGAAGGATATTGGCATGTAAAAATGAAATTAGTAGACAATGACGATGATCTCAATGAACTACGAAATGAACTTGAAAGTCAATATTGTCATAACAGTCATATGTGCAACTTGGGAAGTGCTTTAATAGCAATGGGTGATTATAAAAGAGCGGAACGATATTTTCGTATGCTACTTGAATATTTATCTGAACGTCATTCATCGATTGGTCCCATATACGGATCTCTGGGTTTGATTTGTTCAAAGAAAGGAAATTATCAAGAGGCATTGGAATCTTATGAACAAGCATTGAAATATTTAACAAGAATTAAAATTAATGATGAACGAGAAAATATTAGCCAAATATATGCTCATATCGCCACGGCTTATCATGGTCTTGGCAAGCCCGATCTGGCATTGAAATATTTGTCTATGGCAACAGATACAGATTCATCACCAGATTCGCTTTCATATATATATAATCAAACTGCTATGACATACAGAGACCAAGGTGACTATTGTGCAGCACTGGAATACTTTCAAAAAACGCTCCATATTGAAGAAGAAATTTTAAAAAGGTCTAATTACCATCCACTGTTAGCCACTATGTATAATAATATCGGTGAAATATATATACGTTTAGGTGATGATGAAAATAGTTTTAAACATTTACAACGTGCATTGGATATCCGACTCAAAGGGACAGTTTCCACGCATACAGATCTTGCTGCTATTTATAATAATTTGGGACTAATTTATTCACGGAAAAATGAACTTAAAAAGGCATTAGAAATGTTTGAAAAGGCGCTAGAAATAGATACTCAAACATTCGACGGCAATCATGAATCATTGGCACTATCACATAACAATATTGCAACCATCTATCAGCAGGCTGCGAATTTATCGAAAGCTTTATATCATGCAGAAACAGGTTTAAGGATATTTCACCGCTCACAAGCCAGAGACAACGCTTCACTTCTTGTTCCGCATCAATGTAACCTGGCAAGTATTCAATATGAGTTAGGCAACAATAGCAAAGCATTAAATATGGCACAAAAAGCATTAAAAAATCAACTAGGATATTTACCTGAGAGTCACGAATCTATTTCAGAAACATATCATTTATTGTCAAAAATATGCATTCAAAAAGGTGATCTTCCAAATGCTTTAGAATATTTAGAAAAATCGGTCGACATTGCTCGAATTTCGATATTACCCAAAAATAAATTCAAATTTGAAGGTCTCGAATTAGAATTGGAACTGTTAAAGAAAAATGGTTTCAACAGTGGGAGAACACTGTCGCACATGCAATGTGCACCCGATCAACCCGATTTGCAAGATCGTTGTATACGACAAAGCATTGAAAAACTTGAATTGACTTCAACAGATAATATTCTGGAACGTATTAACTCACTGAATACTCTCATATCGGTCAACTCTAGACAAGGAAATTTTCAGATGGCAATGAAGTATTTTGAAGACGCTACTTTACTGTACGCTCAAAATCGATCATCTGATATGTTGCTTCAACGAAAAGTCGAAGAATCGATGGTAAGTATATTTTTTAGCGGAAGTCGAGTATATTATCGGCAAAATAATTGGACAATGTCTTTGGAAATATTGAAAAAATCACTCGATTTTGCTTTAAAACAAGAACAAAATTCTTTATTACCGGAAATTTATAATGCTATGGGATTGAGTTTTGCACATCAATTCGATAACTGCATGGCGATACACTATTTCGAATTGGCTGTGAATACTGCTAAAAAGACTTTGCCCGATGATCATCCAAATCTTCAACGTTATCGCTATCAATTGCAACAATTAAAACCTTAAACGCTATAATTGTAATGCTTGTAATAGATTGCAGAAATCGTTCGAATAAAGAAAGGCATAAACTTCAAATACAACCATCACGTATAGGTTGCGATAAAACAAATGAATTGTACTCGTGAGTCAGTCTGTATTAAAATGGACTTTTTCTGCAAAAACTAATTTCAATTGATAGTACATTTATTTGATCAGTTTATTCATCGTTTGTTTTGTTAAACGAGCGACCTCATCTGACGATAAATCGTAGGCCTCAGAGTCGAATCTAATCATCAATTCCAGTCTTGACAATAAACAAGAAAAAACAATTCAGTGCAGCAGGCGTAGTAGTACATTGGAAAAAAATTGTACGAGAAATAAATACTGCCCTTGTTAACTACCGTGAGTACACTTGTGACACATGCCGAATTCTCAATGTGGAAGAATTCTTTTTTCCTTTTCACCTATTGAAAACTATGTGATTGTGAAATAAATAAATAAATAAGAATCATTCTCTTTCGATCAACTAAACAGCATCAATGTCCAAAAGCAACCTATCCTCATTGCTTACTCTCTCGGTCGAACTTGTTCACGTTATTTTTGATTACCTCGATACAAGAACAATACTACTATCACTTGGCTATGTGTGTCCTCGACTACGAGCAATTACAAACACTTACGAGAGACTTATACTCAATTTTCGATCGATTTCTAAATCTGATTTTCATCATATGTGTCGCATTGTTCGTCCTGAAAATGTTATTTCACTTATTTTATCTAATGATGACGAAACGCCAGGTCAAATCGAACTATTTCTCTCTTTGTTTGACACCCGCCAATTCATTCGACTTCGTTCACTAACTGTTTTTGCAATCGAGGATGACAATCTAAACAGAATTCTGAATCATGCAATTCACAATTCTCTCATCTCACTATCAATTGAACGATCACATTCTTCAAATCATCCCAGCACTACCTTAAATATTCTGTCATCAGCTATGTCACGACCTACTTTGCGAAAATTTAAGTGTACAATTGATTGGTTGTTATCTGATAGTTTTATTTGGCCTAGAGAATCCAATATAAAACATCTGACAATTGATCGTTGTACGTACAAACAATTTTGTACTATTCTTCGTCATTTGTCACAGCTGCGAACTATCGTTCTGCGCAGTTTCAATCTAGACATTCATAATGAATATGAGTATCAATCGACGTCATATCCACAACTAATATCGTTATCAATGGGACGACTGTTCTTGTCAATGGACAAAATCGAGTCGTTTCTTTGTCTAACGCCTTCGCTTGTTCACTTAAGACTTGAAGGCTCTGCAGATGATGCCATATTCAATGGTTCCAGATGGGAAAAATTAATTCGAGCGAAATTACCGTCACTGAATCGATTCGATTTTTGCTTTCGTTCACAAAACCGTCGTGTGATTGAATTGAGTGCAATTCAATTTCGAACACCATTTTGGCTCAACGAAAAACATTGGCCTGCCAATTGCGTCTATGACGATATAATGGAAGAAGTTCTTCTATGTTCTACACCAGATCTTATAACCAGGCTTGAATATAATTTTAATGGTCCCGTTGTTATTTCCACTACAATTCAGAATATTTGCGTAAGTGTGAAAGTTGTAAAAAACACCATGAGAAAGAATTTTTCACAATTGTAATAAGCCAGCTAAACATGTATCTTTATCTAGAATGGACAATCTAGTCAATACTTTTTTCGTCGAATAGTCGAACTCGAACTTTCTCAATATCTACTGGATTCATTGCATTTTACTTCGAAATTAGTCGATTTTTCTCAAGTCATGGAACTTCGAATTCTACTTTCGGATCGCCAAAAATTCATTTCGAAAACACAAGAGCAATTGATCAATCTCTTAAAAGAAACAAATCATATTCGTTCGCTTAAAATATTTTTTGAACACGGCTTTATAATTGATTTTTTATTAATTGAGAACATTTGTTCGTTAGTACCGCATCATGTCAAACATTTGGATATCGAAGCAAAGACATTGGCTGACATTTATTTGATAATTGAACGATTGCAACACTTGTCGAGTATCACATTTCGAAGACTACCTTTTTCGTTACTTCCCGTAACTGAATGGAACACACAATTGAAACGAGATGTAGCATATAGATATAATCAAGATGCTCTACATATTTGGCTCGACAAATCACCTACGGAAGGAAATCGAACCGAAACTTTCGAGAAGGCAAGATGTTTGTGTGATACATTAAAGGTTTAAGTAGATACTTTGCGTTTTTTTCTCCATTAAATTTGAGAAAATAATGTCTGAATGTTTTTTTTTGTATTATTGAGCTGGAAATATCTGTTTTTTTATTTTTTTTGTTGATAAGCAATAAATATGATTTTTGTTTTAAGTACTATGTGAGTCGTTAGTGATACAGTCGCAATCAGAGCTCATTCATATTACGAATACGTAAAATGATTTTCCTACTTTGTGCTCATTTTCTCAATCAAACATTTCATTGGAACTATCAACTGTTGCTGAAAGTCAAGAACAATGTATTGTATTTTATTTTTCAATTGAAAAATGAATAACATTCTTATCATGAATATATGAGACGATCGTTCGATGTAAAATTTTCATCAATCACACTTTGACTCTCTCACTGCACCTGCCCACAAAATGTGGCTTTCGTGAAACTCAATCTAAAACGGGCGAAAACGTATATAGGGTAGAAATTCTCACATTTCTCCAGCCTTCCCATATCGTGTTTGATACTTTATTTCTACACGGATTGCGCTAATAGCTTTCTTTTTGTTTTTAGATGCACCAATATGTCAACATCCATTAAGTAGTGAGATACGTATGTATTTCTTACTAATCGAATCTTGTTTACTATTATTTTTTTAAATTATTTTCTTGATTTAAACGCATCATAATTTTTAAATAATTCGTAACAAACAAATGAAAGCGATGTCTGTGATAATAAGCAACACTTCACTACTATTATCTGTAAAATGTGTTTTAAATGTGATTTCATTGAACATGCTTATTATAAATATCAATGGCCTTCATTCGTTTTTCTACTTACTAGTGCAAAAACACACCACCGACCGCTACAATGACTGACTATTCTGAAATTATTAAATGCTCGAAACAATTGTACATTTTCTAAAACGGCACGATATAAATATTGGACATGCGAAAAAGAACATTTATGATGATTCTCGTTTTATTTGTAGAATAAAATAGATTTTCGTAAATGGCTATTACGGATAAATGAATGAGCCGATTAGGTAACTTGAATTTTTCGTACAAACAAACGTTCTGTTTGTAGGAAAAGCGAATGTTCGTGTCATAGTGAGAACAGCACCAGAGGGGCGTACAATATAAGAAGTGATCCTGAGCGGATTTTTACTGCTAGTAATTGAACTGTTTGAATATATCGCAGAGCAAACATAATAGGTGCCGGATGGTGGTAGTGAACCATCAATGGGCCAATAAACAGTATCCAATTCTTTGTAGTCTACACCGTAGCCTTCGAATAAACCCCCATCAAAATATGAAAGATCAGTTGAAGTAATATCGTACATTGTCTTGCCAGTTGGAGTTGTAACTACTAAATCTACTTCAATTGGTGGAGACCATGTCAAAGCGCATAACAGATGTCCTATATCCAAACAATAACCTTGGATACATGTCTGCTGTGAATTGCATGAAGGTGCGCATATAACAGCTACCGATATAAGAATTAATATCAATTCGTTGAAAAATAATTCCTAGCTGTGACCTACTTGTTAGTTTTGCCGTTGTCGTTGCCGTTGCCGTCGATGTTGTAGTTGTAACTTTTCTAGTAGTTTTCCTAGTGGTGGCTGTTCTGATGGCACTTGTGGTTGATACGCTTGTAGTCATTTTTTTTGAAGTTGTAGTTGTAGTTGTAGTTTTTGTGGTGGCCATCTCTGTAGTAGCGTTCCTAGTGGTGGTTGCTGTGATGACACTTGTGGTTGATACGCTTGCACTTATTTTTTCTGTAGTTGTAGTAGTAGTTTTTGTGGCGGTACTAGTGGTTGCAGTTACTGCTCTGATCGTTTCGGTGGAAGCACTCGGTGTGGACGCACTTGTGGTCATTGTTATGGTAGCTAGAAGTGTAAAAGATATATATTTGACTGCTTAAAGAGCACAGGTTTAAAATCTGTCATCTAAGCTGTCGTAATTGATCCATGGCACTACTACATTGATAATATGCTTGATTCAAATTATTATAGTTGTTCTTTACGGTCTTTTTTTTCCTTAGCTGTACTCGAATTCATGATGGATGCATTACATTAATTTTTTTTCTCTGCTCTTTGTTTCTTTTTATGACTTTTTAATAGGAGTTTCCTTATTCAGATCATTAAATTGAACACGTGTTGCATGCGATTCTAGTGTAGATATAATTGATGATAATCGAATTTTAGCTTCTATTGAAAAACTCTTGATTTCATCTATTCATGTGCCACTTTCTCAAATAATGGCATTCTTAGCTGCTTGTTCAGCTTACAAGGCATTATTATACATGAAAACATATTTTCCCAAATAGACACTACGATACTTGTGAGGTTTCAATTATGAAAATAAAATAATACTTGTTGTTGTTATTCTAGTTGATAATAACAAGGCTATAATACTTGCAGCACTGATTGACATGACCAAAATGAAGAAAATCAAAGGCAAAAGCGTGCACAAAGGTGTACATGTACAGCAACATCTCATATATTTGAATGCATAATTTTCAAAATATCTAATAAATAAAGAGTATAGAATAAGACATTGATCGTGACCTTTCTGTTTTCATACCTTCGACCATTGCTTTCAACCGATTTATTTTCATCTGGATCGTCGTTTACCAACTAATTTAAATTGAAAAATTCAATAGAAGAAAAAGACAAAGTAGAAGATTTCACTGTATTAGCATCGGTATTTTTTATTGAAGAGAAGCCGTCACTAACTGTATCCTACCAAGAAACAGAAAAACAAGATTTTTCTATTTAGATGCGCATGTAGAAGAAAATAAATATCGAAATTACTTCATAATGTTTCGTTGGATGAACTTCAATTTTTGCCGGTCGTTTATGATCATGTTCTACTTGACTGTTTATGTCTTTGATTGAATTCGCTGATTTATTATGGACATAATCGAATTTATTGTCTATTGGCTATAAAACAAAAAGTATTAAATAAATCAATGATTATTTCAATTCGGCCATATATTCAAGAAAACAGTTGTACAAGGGATTATATTATTTTCGACAAGATGAATCTATTCATGCTGCCAGCTGATGAGAGCATTTCTAAACTTCATACTGAACCACGCCATAGTCTCATAGAATAATAAAACCATCGTATTCCTTTTCAAGAATTTCTTAGTAGCATCAAAAGAAATTGAACGGCATAGACGGGAAAATTTGTAATGCCCCATAGAGTTCTAGAACAGTTTAAAGATTTCCTCAAAATTAAAATGACTAGAATATGCTTATGAATGTTCTAATTAATGCAGCTTTTGATTTACCACAGTAATCATATTACCAATCAACATGAAAAGCTTGAATTAATTAATTAATATTGGTGCTGATGAACTTATTGAGATCTATAATAGTTCATTGGAGTGTGCTGTATATTGTGAAGAATATGTACGACGGACTTATTTAGTAGTTAAACCAATGCTTAGAAAAATAGAAATGTTAAATTAGGAAAGCGAAAAAATGAATGCAAAAGCAGCAAGCGAAATGTAATAGTGCAAACAAATAATAGAGCGCTTGTAGAAACAAAAAATAAAACCTTTGTGCTCTAAATGCAAAAATAAATAAGCACGCGATTTTCTTCGAAATCAACTCCAGTCTACAAAACATATTTCACTTTGTGGATTTTGTATCCGCTTTATGAAACTAAAGAATATATGAGAGTTCCATATTTCAGCCACGTATTGGCTGTGCTAACAACAGGTCTTTTTTTAAAATTTGTCTATAGAAATTCCATTTTTAACTTGATTATTACTGATCTTATTAAACAATCGAATGGACGCAGATAACATGTTTCTTAATGTAATAAATGTAAAGCAAGGTAATAGATCCACGAAGAGTCCCTACTACTGTAAGAAGGGTGTGGGTTTGGCTAATAATGAAAACTAGAATCCACACTCACACCAACATTCATTCATTAGCCATTTGAAATTGTATTCCTAGTTTGATATGTAGTAGGATCTTTTTTCTCAAAACTTCATATGAAAATTACCGAGGGAATAAAATTCATATTCTAACGGGTGGACCAAAAAGAATTGCCCTGTTAGTATTTTTGAATTTTCTCGTCTTTCTTGAACACGATCGACGTGCTGTTTTTGCTGAACGATTCCGCGTTCAATTCTCTACAAAAAATGTATTGGCTATTTTACTTCAAAAGCCAAAGATACAAAATGTGATAGAAAATTGCGAGAAGTACCAAAATGTGGAAAAAATAAACGTGTATAAATTGAACAGCAGATTTTCCGGGTATTATCTACTGAAAGTTTGTAAGAAAGAAAAGTTATAGTAGCCACCTTGTACTCCTTAAAAGGCTCTATTGTTTACCAATGATTAAAAAATTTTGCATTTACAATTGAGGACGTAAGAATTTTATTATTTTTTGTCAATTTTTCAAAAAACGACGACTTTTTCATCAATAAAGTAAGCCTACCTATAAAACAAATGAAGCTTAGTTAAAGTGGATTTATTCGAGCACATTTTTTTAAATTTATATTGAAAACCAATGTTCTATCGTTATTTTTGGACATCTAAGATTTGAAAAAAATATTATTGTGTTCAGTCGCGCAAAAACAGATACAAATTGTTGTTATTTTTCACTTGATTGTAGTGAAACTAATGTTTGTGACAGATATTTAGATTAAAATGGCTTTTACTCTACAAGACGAGATAGAGCGCATTTGAAACTACATAAAATATACTGAAACACTCTTATGATGCTTATGAAAGCATTCGAAAAAATTTAGCTCGATGCGAGAAAATATCCGAAACATAAAATTATTTTTTCGTACATTTTGGTACTTCTCACAATTACCTATCGCATTTTGTATCTTTGGATTTGAAGTAAAACAGCCAATACATTTTTTGTAGAGAATTGAACGGGGAATCGTTTGGTAAAAACGACACGCCGATCGTGTTCAAGAAAGACGAGAAAATTCAAAAATACTAACAGGGCAATTCTTTTTGGCCCACCCCTTAATATCTCAATAACTGTTAACGAGAGTGATCACAATTGGAAATCGCCGATTTTATCTAGTATTTCCTGCATGATCTAACTGTTGTGTTGAATTTTAACAAGAACAATCTGTCTTTCAGACGATAGAATTTTTAAATCAATATTGTAATTCTGAGGTTAATGGAACATACAATATGCGATAGGCTTTCATCAGTTTTGAAAATTGTCGTGCAAATTGATTACACAATCCGATGAACGTTTTCTTCTTGATTACTGTCTCAAAACCGATCCATTCACTTTTTTGTTATCACGTTTTATTGAAACATCTCAACCAGTTTCAATTACCTCGATGTTTAACTTGATGCAATATATCTTGAGGGTGTGACCGAGAGTGTGGATATGGTTGCTATAATGGCAGCTATGTGTTAGTGAAAATAAAACCGAGCCACACTCTTCCCTCAAGGGTAGAACTTTTTATGGAGCCTCAACGATGTGTGCTTCCGTGAGAAACCTTTTTAAGGTTGGTATGCTTCTTCGTTTGCTTTTGAGCGTATGCTCTTATCTAGGACACGTACGATACAATGCAATACTTCCTAATATACCACAGGTGCCATTGTCCATCATTTGATTCAAAATAAAAACGGGAAATCATATGCTTTAAATTATATTCTCGACTAAAATTGAAATTGTATTTGAAGCGAAATTTAGAGAAGTACTAAGAATTATATAAAACATCAGCAGCAGCCTTTCAAAACGAAAAAGTTAACTTCACTGAATATTTTCTGAGAGAATCGAACAGCAAATAAATGATTGCATATTGAAGCTGAGATGGTTAAGAAATAAAAATCAGTTTCATATTTATTTTACAGCATAGATATCATTAAATACAAAAGATTACTGTAAGTATATAATAAAATATCAATATCGTAAAACGTCGATTAACTCTACGTTATTTTCTACTGCACCGGACTTTTTCATTCGTATCTTATCAAAAGTTTGCGTTGTAAAACGTTTTATTTTTGGCAAACATGAGCTGCTACGATCCATCGCTATCGCGATTCCACCAAAAAAAGACAGAAAAATAAATATTACAGGTAAACCAAGAAGTCCGAATGAAACACATATTTGAACCAATGGAGTTTTTATACTTGGCAATTCAAAAATGACTGAAGTAACTTGTTTTGTTGTATAGTAACACGTATAATTCTGACCAATCTGGTAGAAAAACAAAAGAAATCAGAATTGTGTAACTACTAAACAACATCAAACTATACTTGTGTCTGCTTGTGTGTATTTTTTTTGGCTATACTGCTGAATTTACTTCTGACTACTGTTTGATTGAAAATAGGATATGAGAATTCGAAATTTTCATCAAAACAAGTGTAATAGGTGCATGTATCTTCATCACATGATTGGCATTTATATTTAAACACTGTATAATTGAGTAGAAGACATGTTGTATGCGTATGTGCATTCCGAAAGCTCCGATTATTTGCATAATTAGAAGCTCCCATTGAACCGACCACGACACAAGGAATGAACATGATGCCTGCACAAACACCTGCTAAACGTAGAACAATCGAAAATAAATCACTAAACCGTGATTTCGCCATTTGTATTTTGTGTTTTTGAATATTAATCGAAATGTTTAATGGTAGACTTTCATGTTGTAAATGACGTCAGCATACGATAGTCGACTGAAAGGAATTCTTATCTGTTTCATCAGAGAAATGATTCATCTACGCCTACATTCCCGTGACTGAAAATACCATGCCATTCTCAATCATCGCCTCAGTCTAAGGATGGGTGGGTGTGGGCACTAGCGTGTATTGATAAGACAAAGAGTTCAACACTCACTCACAGTCAAACACCAGAGCCTATATATGAAAGGATTTTTTGAATAACACGAACGAAAATTCAAAAATAACTCATAAATTATTAGTATATGAATCAATTTTTCCTGTCAATCGAAACCCCACCAGTAAAATCTTCAGAGCCGGATCCGATGGACTCTAGTGGACGTGAGGATGTTTGAGAACACGTTATGCAACTACATCTGAGCAATCATAATGTCTATCGAACATCATTTGTTTTACTGCGGACTTGAATATAATACTGAGCATAAAATGTATTCCTATTGGTATTGGTAGATTTTATTTTTGGATACATTTATTCTAGTAGATGCCAGCTGTATGAAAATATGCGAGTAGCCTGTGATATGCATGTGCTTGCTGCATTAATCATTAAGTGAATGCTGTGTGCGAACAACGTAGTCTCAGAAATTGAAGCATATGTCCCACTATCTAAACTGATGGGACAGCAAGTGCTCAGCGGTTTACAAGATTTCATGATCGTATTTTTAATTCTGCCAAAGTTTTGTAGATGTTCTTTTTGATCGTTTTTTGCACAATATCCGGCATACTTTCTTTAGTGTGATGCTTCACGATGTGAGCGTCGCTAATCTTCCACTGAAAAATATGATCAAGTTAAACGCATGCTGAAAGTTTTTATTATATAAAGCGTGTGAATCAAATGTTGTTGTTTTAGGCGCTTGTCTATAGTGAAAATAACCTAACTATATCAATCATGAGACCGCTCATCAAAATATATTCTCTACTCAGTTATTTTATCAGAGAATCTTTGACTCTCTTTTCAAATATTTTATTTCTAATAAAAAAAGTTTACTATGAGAAAATAAAAATCGATCAGACGTTGGCGATTCGATATGTTCTGTTTTGTTTAATCAAGTTCTTCAATTGTTGGACCATTACCATTTGATTTCGATGTACTATGATCCGATGGCATATCGTTGTTATGAATTTTAGTCATAATTGGCGAACAAATCTTTTCGATTTCTCTCATTTTATGTTCAATTTCATCTTTTTCAGCCAATCGATTTAATTCTATCCATTCTAATGTCGATTCAATTGTTTGATTTATTTTTGTTTTATCATCCATTGAAAGTTTTGAGGAAATTTTATCATCCTGAATGCTTGATTTCATATTAAAACAATATGATTCAAGTGCATTTTTCGCTACTATACGTTCATGTTGTAATTCATCTTCTTGCTTATATTTTTCAGCATCGCTCAGCATACTTTGAATTTGTTCTTGTGATAATCGATTTTGATCATTTCGAATTTCGATTTTTTTCTCTCGACCAGTTGATTTTTCCACAGCAGACACATTTAGTATGCCATCAAATCCAATATCAAATGTCACTTCAATTTGTGGGACACCACGTGGTGCAGGTGGAATACCAGTCATTTCAAAATTTCCAAGTAAATGATTATCTTTAGTCATTTTACGTTCACCTTCAAAAACTTTTATATCAACACCAGGTTGATTATCTGAATAGGTTGTGAATGTTTGTGCTTGTCGTGATGGAATAGATGTACCACGTTTAATCACTGTTGCCATAACACCACCAGCTGTTTCAATACCCAATGAAAGTGGTGCAACATCAAGCAGTAGAACATCTTTAACTGCATCGGATTTATCACCTTTTAAAATAGCTGCTTGAACAGCTGCACCATAAGCTACAGCTTCATCGGGATTAACCGAATTATTTAGTTCTTTACCATGAAAAAAATCTTGAAGTATTTTTTTTACTTTTGGAATACGCGTTGAACCACCGACGAGTACTATTTCATTAATATTTGATTTATCCATTTTAGCATCACGCAATGCTTGTTCAACTGGTTCGAGTGTTGAACGAAATAGATCAGCACACAGTTCTTCAAAGCGAGCTCGTGTTATTGTTGCATAAAAATCATGACCTTCATGAAGTGAATCAATTTCAATTGTTGTTTGAGATAATGCTGATAATGTGCGTTTAGCTCGTTCACATGCCGTATGTAAACGTCGAATTGCACGTGCATTTTGTGACATATCTTTTTTAGTTGTTCTTTTAAATTCTTGTATAAAATGTGTAACCATACGATTATCAAAATCTTCTCCACCTAAGTGTGTATTACCAGCCGTTGATTTAACTTCAAAAACACCATTATCAATAATGAGTACAGATACATCAAATGTACCACCACCCAAATCAAATATAAGAACATTTTTTTCCCCTGATGCTTTTTTATCTAAACCATAAGCCATGGCTGCTGCTGTTGGTTCATTTATAATACGTAAGACATTGAGACCAGCAATGGTACCAGCATCTTTTGTTGCTTGCCGTTGTGCATCAGTGAAATAAGCTGGAACAGTAACAACAGCATCTATAACTTTTTCGCCAAGATAAGTTTCTGCAGTTTCTTTCATTTTCGTCAGTACCATTGATGAAATTTCTTCTGGTGTAAATAATTTTGTTTCATTTTTATAATGAACTTGAATTTTTGGTTTTCCACTATCATTAATTACTTTAAATGGCCAGTGTTTCATATCGGACTGTACAGTTGAATCGTCAAATTTACGACCAATTAGTCGTTTAGCATCAAAGATTGTATTGATTGGATTCATAGCCACTTGATTTTTAGCTGCACCACCAATTAAACGTTCAATATCCGTGAATGCAACATAGGAGGGTGTTGTTCGATCACCTTGATCATTAGCAATAATTTCAACCTTACCATGTTGAAATACACCAACACATGAATATGTTGTACCTAAATCAATACCAATAGCGCGAGACATGTTTGTTTGGTGACAAGGAAATATTTGGATTGTTTAATTATGTTGATCATGAGTTTTGAAGGTGGTTTATATAGCATTTTGATGAAAACTTTGTAATACAATCTAGAAGATTCGACAACTGATGAGAAGAATGTAGAAGACTTGACTAATGAAAATGGAAAAGGGAAATACACGATGAATGATGAGCTGATGTAAGATTTGCAGTTTTACGAAATTTTCGTCATGTATGTATCCTAGCCAAACCATACGATTTGTATTCGTCAATCAGGTACACGAATAGCGCATGCATTGAAGGCGACATCTGTCTGGAAGGGAAAAAAACTAGGGTGTGGGTGTGTTGGAATGTCATACACACCACACATCTTGCAGTATCCGGTGATCGGAACGATTGACCTGGACAAGTCGAAATATGTTGTAGTAGCTACAGATATTCGTTTAATTATTGTTTTGTGCCACTGTTATCGTAAATAGCCTTGTGAAGATACATTTTATCTCTCTTTTTCATCTTACCTTAACTCGATTCACACAGACCGAGAAACTTCATTTAAATAAATATTGTTATTTTCTTATTCTGTTCTTATAAGATATCATTTAATGCAGCAAGAAAATTTCAATCCCTATGCTTCAATAATGGTTTATTCTGGTCGTCCAAATCCACGTTGGCAGTTATCAACTGAAGAATGGCATCAGTTAAGTAAATTAATGGATACGTTACCGAAAATAACTGAAAATGGCGGAGGTCCTTATCAACTCGATAGTCCATTAGGCTATTCTGGTTTTCACGCACATTTTTCAATTATATCAAGCTATCCTGATATTTATTATGTGGCCAATAAATGTCAAGCTATTTTATCCAATCCTGCTGGATATATGATCTTCACTGATGAACAAAAACAGGTGGAAAATTGGTTTAAAGGTAGTGCTAAAAATCATGGTATTGGTATTACCATCACGGACATACAATATTGAAATACTTACATTTGAATAAGATTTGCAAATTTAATAAAAGAATATATGCAAAATAAAAGATCAGATTTTAGATGAGTAGCAGCAATAGGCAGATCATGTTTCACCTTTTTAATGCCGCAGAGATTACGCTAATAATATTTTAAAGTGATATCTACTTGCATTTCACTTAAATTTGATCGATTCATTTTCAAGAGATTATACATAAATACTACCATCATATTCACAAACGTGTTCTAGTGCGTCTATTCATTCACTATTGCGATTACCAAAACTAAACTATGGCCTTTCTTTTGTATACATGCTTCTTGTTACTGTTGGTGACGGTCGTTACTGTCCAAGACGAAGGTACTATAATTGAGAATTGAATAAATTTCACTCTATGAAACTTTGTTTTACATTTATAATAAAACACAGGACTTGTATGTGGTCAAAATGAAATCTTCAAAACTTGCGGTTCGCCTTGTATCAGCACGTGTACTTACAAGCCTGATATTTGTATAGCTATGTGTAGTACTGGATGCTTTTGTAAAGAAGGATATGTGCGAGAGTCCAATAAAACTGGCAGTTCATGTATAAAACAGGAGAGGGCTGGCAAAGATCCAGAAAATGTCCACTTTACTTAAAGTCCTGTGAAAAGTCCTTCACCCTCAACCTAAAGTCTCGCCATAGGACCTTGCTGGTGGCGGCACCTGTCCACGGGACTTTGGGTAGGAAAAGTGACATTTTCTCGGAACTTTGCCATTGCTGAAACAGGAAGATTGTGAAAATGTGAACGTATTGCCAACGTGTGCCGAAAATGAAGAGTTTTTGACATGCGGTTCAGCATGCCCACCGACATGTAACGATTGGTCTTATCCACTTCCAAAACAGCCTACCCCGTGCATCATGATGTGCAAGAGAGGTTGTTTCTGCAAGAATGGTCTTTACCGTTCAAAGGATGGCAAATGCGTCAAACCCGAAGAGTGTTGTGGCAAGAACGAGGTATTCACAAGCTGTGGTTCAGCTTGTGTTGAAACGTGCAACAACAAGCCTGATATGTGTACTGATCAATGTGTCGCTGGTTGCTTTTGTGGTCGTCCAAATCATGTGCGCTTAAATAACAACACTAATAGTTTATGCATTCCTCCTAATGAATGTCCAAAATGATGAACTGAATTCTTGTTTGGATTATTTGAAGTAAAATGAATATGAATATAAACAAATATCTATATGTGTGGGAGCAAAAAAAATATAGATACTCACAACCTTATTAATTAAAAGAAAAATAACGAATATCTATCATAAACAAATCAGAAAAATTCATTCATCATTCATTCAGTTCTAATTCAAAATCATCTCATGTTTTGCGAAGCGCTTTGTTGACAGAGGTTAGTGTTTTTTCTCTGAAACAAAATTGTCGCTAGGAACATTTTGAAGGCTTTATGGATGTGTGTGACTTAGTCCATATCAACACCTCCTCGTACACTCATGTCCCGATATTGTTGAAAATATACTAATGCAAACTTATGTAAGAATGAAAGATAATATAGAAAATGTATTTGGTTGCCTAACATTTATGTAAACACTTCACATATATAAGAGATTGCTAGGCGAGCGATACATGACTGAAAAACATTATGAAACGATTTCAACTGTTAACAATGACTGTGATGAAAGCGTAGACATGATTATAAAGTGTTTCCGCAAGCAAGATCATCTCTCATTGTCTGTCTTATTTGTATCAATGGAGTAAAATCGATGAGGTGTGGGTGCATGGCAATGCTGATAATCGACAGAATAATCACACTCACACTGCCACCTTCAAGACGTACTGGAGTAAGTATAAATCTCAATTATCTTATTTTTCTGAGTTTCCAAGAGAACAATTTTTATTTAGAGTATATAATGATGTGGAATATCGAATTTGCAATTTCTCAGAATTAAGTAGTACAAATAAAACTATGAAGCGAGGCATCATTGGCAGAAAAAGATAACACCGTAGCGTATTTTGTCAAAATTAATAAAAAGAGATGAAAACCTGTTGTTTTTCTGTAGAGTAAACTGTGTTTTTGTTCTAGCAAGTTGGTCATTGACAAAGATAGGCATCAAATTGCGTCAGAATAGGTGGACCACCGACAGTACTATAGACATTCAATCGTATTGCTTGCATCAGAACAGCTTCACCAAATAGGACGATACGTTTGTTTCCAATTGATTGCCCTTTAGCTGGAGGAATGGGTATCCAACAGCCTAAACAGTCTCCCCACATCATCAATCCATCAAGAGACCATTGACGAATACTAGCACCAGATGGACTTCTCAAGTTTTCACGAATAACAACACGGTCGGCTAAGTGCGTCGAGGGAAATCGCAAGATACATATGTTACCTGAGCAATTGAATTCGCTAGCTAATGGCGTTCCATAACAACCTCGAATATAATCACCAAATTCCTTATATCTACTGGCATGCTTTGGATCAACTAAGCCATCTCGACCGACTGCTAAGTCAAATACTAATTTACAATTACGTCCTACAGTTGTATGATATGTATCGACTAATTCCTGCAATGGTCGAATAGGAAAATCAGCACCACCATAAAACCATCGATCGCTAACTTGTAAAGTAGTGGGACATTCAGGTACTGAATAGCGGTTACCATTCGGATCTTCTTGGCCACTATCATTGACGGTTAACCATGTATCCTCATTAGCATAACCGAACTCATTACCAATATTGCGAATACTATTATTTGTTAGGCCAAATCCATTGAAAATCGATGCATGCGATTGATATTTTTGTACTAACATGGATATTCCAGCTTTTAATGATTGTGAATAGCCACCATCGAACCATATTTCTAGCAGCGGTCCATAATTCGACCATAATTCTTCTAATTGTTGTAGCACGATTGATTCATACGTTTCTTGAGTGATCGGCATTTGACCAGGAGCTAAGGGTCCAGGTTGGACACGAGCGTCTCGTACATTTAACCAATTGTTCCATATAGTGGAATAGTATACTCCAGTTTTTATTCCAGCTTGATTGCAAGAATCTACAAAATGATCAACGTAATCTGTATCTGATACAGGACTATATGTAACAGAGTAATTATAGCTTATTGTTTCATTTGTTGTTAATTGAAAATGGACATTGGTAGGCCATGTTGCAAAGCCACAGTTATGTTTAGCTACTAGAATAGCGTATTTCGCACCAGTGTCAACGAATGTCTGTACCCAATTATCAGTATCCACTGTATCGGGATAAAATAGATTGATATCAGGAACTAAGGATGGTACACGATTACAGCCATCGTATTCAACTGGTATATATGTTGCCATATTATAATGAATCAGAAAGCCAATATCTGATTGTTCTAGCCAAGCTAATTGATCAGGGGTTGGATGTGGATTAAGTTTAACATTTGTTGTCTCATATGATCGTACTTCTATGGATATCAACTCAAAAAATATTAGAATCCAAAAGATACTCATGATATATCTTGTGTGCGTCGTTTTGTATCAAGCGTTTTGTTAACAAAAGGACGATCTAAATCAGAAGTCAGAAAAACAGTAATGTCAAGTACTAATGCTTTGGTATAGCAAAAAATGGCCTACCTGTGTGTTACTTTCATAAAGCGATGAAGTAGATATCATGAAGATGTTTGTTTACTCTCACTTTCAAAACTCTTATCAGTAAACCATACATCAGAGGCGTGATAAGGTGTATGGCTGTGGATGCCCATGAAGGAGTATAGATATCAAAGATTTACCATCTCCAATCGTTAAAATTACTATAAGTGAAACATTTAGTCACCAAAGGAAAGATTTACAAAATAGTGACCGATAATGCCTCATCCATGATTAAAGCTTACAAAGTCGGCTTATCAATTGACGATTAAATTACTGAGAATAATAATGAAGTTCAATTAATGGCAAATGCGCACACGACATTGAATGCCTTTGATCGTAAGTATTTTATCTCTATCTGAACATATTCTAATTCAAAGTAGAATTTATTCATAGCAATGATATTCAATGCAATTTACAATCATAGAAAATATAGAACAAAATATTTTGAAAGATTTGACTTAAATGGTAGAAAAGTCAACCAATAGTATTTTTTCAAAGTTTCTTTCTATAATGCAAGACAAGGCGCAATTTCCTTAAAAGCATAGTTCATAGTTTTATTAAACTGATACTAGCATAGGGCTAAATATTAAAGATGATATTTATTCTACTATGACTTTTAGATAATTTAATTTCAATTTTTCGTCTGCGTTTAAAGCTACAAATTCTTTTTTTTAATTGACTTTTTCTAATTCATATAAAGGGGGTGTGGGTTGGGGTTAGAGTGTGAATTATCTATTGATTCACACGCACTCGCACACCACACACCCTAGGTATACGGCCGTTTACGACTCACGATGATCGACCTGGGCATCCACACTCACACCCTCAAGATTTACTTAATGTACAATATGTTGGAAAATCTATGTTGCGTGATTATTGTAAATTATTGCGTTTATATTTAACAGTTTCCGTTACAACGGCTACGGCTGAAAGATGCTTCAGTGTTATGAATAGAATAAAGACATATTTACGATCAACCATGACACAGCAACGCTTTAATCATGTCCTTATTCCTCATACTCATAAAGAAAAACTAGATAAGTTAGAATTGAACAACATTTGTTCTGATTTTATTGTAAAAAATCAGAGTAGAAAAGCATTTTTTGGATATCAACAGTAGTTTTTGTACTTGAACTTTTTTATTTGCGTTAGTCAAGATTTAAGATTTTTTATGCCTATGTTAATAATGAAATAAAATTTTGATAGTAGAATATTCAATTGTTCTGCAGGCATGCAAAATGGGTCAGTGCAGAGAATGTTTTCAATTAACATTGTCACAACGAAATTGAAATGTCCGTTTTCTCTATTACTGTCGACTTTCTATGGTAGTTTTTAAAAAGTATTTCAGTCATCAGTAAATTTCAATCGTTCTGCCGCCTATGTACCACGGCTATTCTGCAGCACGCCGCGTTATACACTAAAAACAATTTGCACGACACCGAACCCAAAAGGGCGTTTTTAACAGTAAAAGGTTTTATACGTAGTACAGAACCTAAAAGGGTTTCGATTTTGTTGCAATTCTCTGAACTCTTTTAGGTTTTGTAGATAGAACTACAAAAAATTTGACACAGTATTCTAAGTCTATGACGATTATTTTCAGGCAACCAAACAATTTACGAAATCTTCTGAAGGTTCCGTATTTTCTTTGAAAAGGGTTCGGTACACTAGAAAAAAATTAATATGATTACCAAACTCTTTTTTCAGTTCAAAACATCCTTTTGGGTTCGGTGTCGGACCAATTTTCTTTTCAGTGCACCCACACCCTCAATGTTCAAAGATACTTGCTCTCTTTCTACTTTTTTCTGAGTTTTGCTTTCCCACTGTGTGAGGATATTATCTAAAGTGTCAGCTATGAACCATTCTGAAAGAACTTCGTCTACTACTTTCTGATTATTTGTGTGGAACCCCCATTGATAAAACTGATGCATTGCTGTCTCTTTAGGATTGAAAGTTCGAGAGGGAAAAAAAGGATTTAGCATCTATTCGTAATTTTGAAAATGTGGTACTCATCTATCGGCTCATATTTTGATCAGTTTCATTATTCGGCGTGTTGTTAGATGCCTTCGACGTTGGTTGCGATGGAGAGAGTTGTGGCAGCATGGAGATGAACTATGTTTTCGTCGAGCCGTGTAGTCCGTTTTCAAATAATTTAATTGAGAGTTAAAACTGCTATAAATTTTTTGTAATTGATCCTGTCTATTTCTCAACCATGCAACATCATTTAACATCATCGGCCAGATAAATTCATCGATTAATCATGCAAATGTAGGTAGTAATTTCACTAGTATTTTATGATGTAGCTCAGCATCGAGAGCTGTTCGATTTACCTTCTCGCTAATGCAATCTATTTTTTCATCCATACGACGAGTATTCTCTTTCATATCCAAAATGTTTTGATTTATCGAGAGCAAAATTTTCTTTGTATCTTCAGTTTCATTTATCTTATTTGTTACTGTTGATTACACTGAAGTTATTTTCCATGGAGTAGTGAAAGACATTAGTGATGGCAGTGACGGGAATTCATTTTGTTTCAGCTGAAATTCCGTTAGTTGAACACGGTCTTGAGGCACTAAACGTTGTAGCTTGCCTGCTGACAATGCATTTTCAGCTTGTTCTTTTAGATTAGATCGATATTCAACTACTTTTTCACATTCACTAGATAACGAATGATGCTCTCCATCACACTGAGCACATCGGACTGTATTCGAACATACATGTGTTTGACCGTTTATAAGATTATCAAGACATATTCGACAACGTGAATATTCTCCGTTACATTTATCTCTCATACGACCTAAACACCAGCGACGAGTAAAATAAGTCATTCTATTACCAGTGAGGAATGGTGTAATGGTGCAAAATGTATTTCCAATCGATATCCGACCTAATTTTAAAGTTGAATTATATTCATCCGGATCTTTAATAACGAAACAAAAATCGTTTGTTCTTCTTTGGAAACGATACTGAATTTGTCTGATATTTTCGACTGATTGAAGATTTCGTTTAATTTCTTCCTTGGCAAACTCGTCATGGTACTGAAGAGGTACATATCGAACCACAAGCACAAAGGAATCGGGAGTAAATTTTGGCTCACTCACGGTGATGTTGATATTATTGACTTGTGACGACCATTTATCCGTATTTATTAAAGTTGCATACGCCTCTTTGTTGCTTACTCCTAATTTTAATTTGTTATCTGCATCCCCGACTAGTGAGAACGATATTGCGATTCCTTGCTGTTTGAAATAACCTTCAATTACACGTGCTGCTGATATATCCGATGGTCTATTCTTCAGGTTTTCTGCTTGTTCGTATTCAATAAAAAGGCATGGAAGATTGCTTGAAACAGCACGTTTTAACTGCTCAAAATGAATTCGATGTTGTTGTTGTACTGATGCTTGTTATCGAGGCTGGTCCAATTGAATATTATTGTTCATTTGGTGTACAGGGCTTGGAACCTTCGAAAACTTCATTTCACGAGTCTTTTTTTGTTTGCCGTTCGATAATACCCGTTGTTGTTTTGATATCTGTGCATCATCATTATCACTTGAGTCTAAATTTCGTTTATGCGTTTAAGGAATTGATGATTGAGTTGGAATATTCAGACGGTGAGGATGGGTATGGTGAGTAAGATGTTCATGAACACCAAACGCGATATTTTGATTTTGACGAATGAAAGCGATCATTTCTTCCAGATTATAGGCATCTGATGTACCAAAAGCATCAGCAGTTGTTTGTTGATTCTTTTTTGACATTTTGTTCAAAGATAAATTTGGCTTAAGATTTGATGATGAATCTTTCTTATCGTAACGATAATTACCGTCAATTTCTCTCATCATTCAATAAGAAGAGGAGGAGGAGGAGGAGGATGTCAGAGGAGAATGCAAGCAAGCATTCGTGCGTCTACTCTTGAGAGAGGAAAGGATGAAAGTGGAGTGGAGAATATATAGCAACGATAGAAGAGAATAAAAAACTGACCATTCGTGTGCAAGTCAATTTTTATTGAGAGAACGCAGGTCGAAAATTACTGGTCATTTCTCGGCGGAAAACACCGAGAATCAATGAAATATGGAGGTAGCATTCCATTCGAAATAATGCTGCACTCTCCCCAGTAGATTCCAGTCAACTGCTGTTCTTTTCGTCAAGAACGGGTCGGAAATCTTCCTAAAAATTTTCGCACAGCATACTGCTTTTAAGTTCCATAGATCTCTGGTCTTTTTCTGCGCGAAACGATGATTTTCCCCACAAGTTCTTGTAATACCAAGGACGTTTTAGCGGTTTTTCATGAAGATAAATATATAATTATATGTAGCCACATAAACATTATGACTTTCATTTGGTATTGTTTTATCTTTTCTTCGTAATAAATAGCTGAATCAAAATGAAAAGTTCTACTCCTATCATCCAAACGGATACTATTATATGTTGGATGTAATTTATGTTTAATTGAATGAACTAACTTAAGCTCTTTTCGGCTACGACATATATGTCTTGATGAAATAATACATTTTTATATCTATCATTAAACATCGTTTCAGGATTATTAGAAAAGCTTTTGATTTCTAATGTGTTTTTCTGGTATACGATACCAATGATGCAGATCAGGTATAAGCTTGTCAATAATTCTATGCAATTATTCTTCAACGTGTCTTTCATTTTTGTTCTTATGATAAAGAACACTTTGAATACCCATGCCGCACATTTTTTGTCACTACCGCCGGTATACCGCGGTACTCATACTAACCGGCAGTAGCGCTTGTAAGCTCCAGTCTCAGCTAAAAAGGCTTTCAGAAACCGTTTTTTGTAAAATTCCTATTTATTTCGGAAAACGAATTCGAACTAATCAAAAACAAAGCTATTTTAGAATATATTTTGCGAATTATTATTTTTACAGCGACATTTTTAATGAAATATTTATCGCATCAATGGGACTGATTTGAGATCTTTGGCTACTACAGGCGGCTTAGGCACATCGGCATATCGCCGTTTTTTTCGGTTTGAAACACATGGGTAAGTCCTATATAATTTGGACCTCCTATTTAGCACAGTAAAGAGAAGAAACATGCATTTACGTATGTATAAACAAAAATTGTTAGAAAATAATCGAGTGTGATCTGAACATCACAAAAGTGTTAACACTTTATCAGTGAAAATATTTTATGACGTGTTTCAACAATAGCTTCTGGATGCATACTAATGCTTTTGTTCACACACATGATGACGATAATGATGTGAAAAAGTTAATTTCATAAGAAATGTTGCTTCTTTATAAAGAAAAAATGTCACTTAAAATTTGATCAGTAAGACAATTAACATAATGCTTGAGACAGGTACCAAAATTCTTACTTTGATCCGCATGATTATACATAAATCATAGCTGAAAAAAATTCTTTTTGCTTTAAATTCTCATTTTAATCAATAATTTTCTTAGCTTTCTAAATTCGAAACCAATGCAGAGAAAACTGCCGTACCTTTTATTCGAGGATGTCTATACATTGCTGTATTCATTGAACCTATTGTAAATGAAGAAAAAAAACGACGAGTTTCAATTAGATCAGTAGCCTAGTCCCGAAGGACCGGTTATTAAGCTTTCGTCTCATAATATGAATTGGCTCCTGATCGCGGCTCATCGTTCTCTTTTGGTCGAAAACAGGTATATAAACTGTAACCATACAGCGATGACGCAATCACAGCAGACACATTGCTCTCGGATTGTGCAACATAGGTCTTGAAAATTCACAAATTAATTCGTGCCGGTAAACACCATTCCCCGGCTCCAATTCTTTCATCATCGCAACAGAAAAGATGTCGCATTCTGAGAGTTGATGAAAGAGACTAATCTTTATAGGCTTTAATCAACAGGATTGCTTTATCTCTCGGAAAAAGCTTGAGGATGCGAGTGTGGGTGTAGGGGTACATAAGTGTTTTTATGTCGCACATATCGGAAAGTTAAACTAAAACTAAATATATTCCTAGATATATCTGGTAGTTCTTCTTTTTCTTTTCTCCATTTATATTCAACCTCGAATTAGACAGCTACTCAAGTGTTTCCCATATATTTCTTTCTTACACAAATCGACAGCTCCATCTTTTTTGACGAACTATGTAGCTTCACATGGTCAAATTGAAAACCAATACGCACTGCTCTTATTATCACAGCTCCTAACCGTCGAGAATTAACTTCTACTTTCATTTCTTGTTTTATTTTTATTTTTGTGTAAATTGTTATTATTAGGCTGTCAGCACCCTTGAGGCGAATTAGCCTTCCAAATAAATATTAGCATTTAAAAAAATATGTTAAGTGATTAACTCGTTAACATAAAGTATTAACAAATGAAATGAGGCGCATTATTGAAGCTTTTTCACAAGAAAATGATGATGATTTTGATGTTGAAACTGGTTGTACAACATTTAAACAATATCATAAATTGGGTGGATGTGAGTGTAGAGTCCAACACAGACCCACAGCCTAGTATTTGTTTTGCCAAAAAATTCTCATTCATTTTACAAAACATTTCTGGATTCAACATTTGTTTTAAACTCACAATTTTCATCTTATTGTGAATCTTTTCTGCAAGAACATAACAAGAAAAATATTTTTCGCGAAGAATAAACTTAATTCAAATTCAAATTCAAGGAGATAATATGATGAAGTCAGAAAAAAATCTAGCTGCGACAAAGTGTTCAACCAAGCTTTGCAACAAATAAATATCATATACTCACTGGCCGATAATGATTAATTTGTTAGAACATAGTCGCCGTAGCTTCATATTAAAATTTTATTGCGATAAATTGGAAGTCAAAATGTGAACTATGTTAAACAACAGAGATTACCAAGATACGTTTTCTATCATTTTTTCGGCATGCCTGCAAGGTACTCAATTATTTGAGCACATGAATGTAACATATTGTTTTGCATTTATATCCATAAAAGTTTATTCTCCTGCTTGATACCCATTCGAGTAGAAATGATATGGTGCTAGTAATATTGCCAGAATCTGTAGTAATGAAATAAATATATGCTCGAAGACACTTCAATTGATACGATTGCAGCACAAAAATTTGTAATTTATTTTTCGCTGGGAAATGCCGACGCTCTTGATACTCTTAAGTAGATTGGGTTATGTAAATAATTGAATAAAAAGTGAAGTGTTTTATAGCTTGTATATAAAAGAGTAATATTGTTTTTGTAGTCTATCATATTCTATCATAGTATGCAACTCACATGTATGTCACTTGTACTTTTACTTATCAATTTTCAGCGTATCCAAGGTAGAATAATTGCTTAATATCTCACCCTCTATCGGATTAGTGTTCTCAATGCTCTAGGAGAAATGACTAATTCTTGGAATAGCTGCTTCAAACCATTATGCGGAAGTAGTATTAGTGACGGTCAAGCCTGTTACAAAGCGAAAACATCGAATGAAACATATATGTGTGTACCAACTGCAGAATGCGATGATTTTGACACCTGTGACAAAGAACAAATGTGTTCCACGTCGAAATCACTCTGTATTATAGATAGTTGTTGTGGAAAGTCTCTCTGCGTGCCGCGCTTATGGGTAGAAATATGCAGAATGAAGAATCCAGCTGATGCCGATGAAGGTAATTATAAAGCTGCCTAGAGCAATATAAGCGCCGGTTGTGGCGATATCGGTAAGCTCTATCATGCATAAAAAGGTATTGGCTCGATGCAAAATAACCTAAAAATGAGTGAATTTTACACCACGCTTTGATTGAGTATGGATATAATATTTTCGAGCCCATGAAACGCTCTATGAGTTGAATCGTAGTCGAAAGACTATTTACCTTGAAGGCAGTATGAAGATAGCTTTTCGTTTTCGTTTACCTTGAGCGCTTTAGAGGTCGTCGTTGAATTTGTTCTCAATTATAATATATTTGGTTAAGAAAATCAAACGGATCTCAATTAAAATACCAACAACAGAGTACGAGATTAGTCTTCATTTAATTCAATAAAGTTGTTTACGAACACAGAAGCTAGATCTCTATGAGCTATTTTGATTGACCAGTTATTTTTAGCCCTATGAGAAAGAGTACTGCAGAAAACATGGGCAAATGTTTATGAGTAATCATTCTGTTCAACAATATTCTTGTGTTAGCTGCATACAGTTTCATAATTGTATTTTACACCAGCTCTCGTTAAATGATTTTCGAAAAGTTTAAGTCTCAACCATCAAAACCAACAGAGGAAACCATATAAATAGAAGCAGTATCATTCTTTACCGAACACTCGTTAAAAACGATAATCCATACACCATTGTGCGATACAGAGTTGAAAATTTTCATTCTACTTTAACCAAATACACTAAAACTACTGCTACCGGTAACATAGTATTTGACATCTTTGTTGATTAGAAGATCGTGTACAACTATAGTCTATCTTAATAATCTATCCCCAAAGTAATGCTTCATAAATTCTCTATATACGAATCTTCATCGACTGTTTTTCTTATGATTATCATCATCAGGAAGTTATTATTTCTAAAGAGAAATTTTGCCTAGTACTGAACTAGAGTGACAACTTCTTATCTCATTGGTTGAAACAATGTACATATTAAAACATGTTTAATAGAACTGTGCATGGATCACTGTAAATAATTCATCCTTTTTCTTCTAGCCTTTTGGACCTACATCAACAGAGTGGTCTATATTCAATCGGTTAATCATCCTGATCGATATCTAGCCTTGAGTGGTTCAGAAGGGGGCGTCAATCTCCTGCCTCTTTCTTCCGATACAATTGTTTTCGTAATGCGACCATGCGTCTGAAAGCCAATGCAGACCGCATACCCTAACTTTGCTTGTGTTACTTTCCAATCTT